TGTCTGTCTGTGCTGGCGGTGTCGTCCCCTCCAGCACAGGTCCTTGTGTGGTTGTGGATTGGGCTGGGCTACCACTGCTCCATGATGAGCTGCAGCAGTGAAAAGCAATGCCATCTCTCAGCACCTCTGATGTTTTGGGGGAGCAAGACTTTCTGGGTAAGGAAAGAAGTGGCCGTTGGCCATTTGAGTAGCTGGAGGGCTGTGATACTCCACTTCTTGGTCTTGGGGTAACCTTGGTTTGTAGTAACTGATGCCCTTGGGGGTCCCCTCTTTGCCCAGCCACATTTGGGGTTCACTCGGACAATAAGAAGCAAGTCACCAATGCCACAGCTTGTTTCTCTGGGCTGGTGACAGGGGTGCCTGGCTCACCTTGGTCTTCTTTTGAAGTCTAGTCTGCATTGTCCAGGACAGTAGCCACAAGCCACGTGCAGCACAGTCAGTCCATCCTGAAGCGGGAGGTGTCACAAAACGCAGGCTAGATTTTAGGCATCATACCAAAGTCTCTCATGAGCTGTTATCAATTATTTGTTGAAAGATAATATTGTAGATCAATATTGTAGATCAATATCTGAGATGTGTTATTAAAATACACTTTCCCTGTTTCCTTTAACCTTTTACATGTGGCTACCGAAATATTTCAAATGGCCTGTGTGGCTTTGATTGTGTTTCTGTGGGCCAGCGTTGCTCTGAGGAAGCCCTTCTCCTTGGAGAGGTAGGAACTCCACCTGGCACTGCACAGACCGTGATGGAGGGAGGAAGCCTGAGGGGGTGAAGGACCACTCTTGGATTGACTTACTGCCTCCTTGAGTATTGAAAATTGTAAGCTGCCAGATCCCTGGGGGTGTGACACCCCTCCAGCAGGAACCCGGGGCAGGTGTCCAGATGAGCAGACGGGTGCCGCTAGGCTACAGGGGATGTGTCGCTGGGAGATGTATTTGGCTCTTGAAAGGTGACCTGAGGTCTTGGATCCATCTTCTGGGGCTGCTGCAACAGAACACCAAGGACCAGGCAGCATAAGCAACAGACATTTACTCTCTCGGTCCTGTAGGCTGGAGTCCAAGGTCAAGGTGTCACAGGGCTGGTTCCTCCTTAGGCCTTGCTCCTCCCAAAGCCTCTGTCTGTGGCCTGCAGAAGCCATCTTCTCTCCGTGACCTCTGTGCCTGACTGTGTCCTGATCCAGCACCCATGCTGGATTAGCGTCCATCTTAATGACCTCTGTAAGGCCCCTTGTAGTGTCCTCTGACTCCCAGCCAGTGCAACACCATCTTGCAGCAAGCGTCTTTGTTCTCTGTGCCAGACTGTGGCATACAAGTTGTCCTTCCCATGGTGGGATGGTGTCTGCCCAGGTCAGCCAGACCCTGATAAGAGCAAGGAGCCCACATAAACATGCCATTTCCATCTCAACAAACAAGCCAGGCATGGTGGTGTATGACTGTAATCCCAGCACTTGGGAAGCTGAGGCAGGAGGATGGAGAGTTTGATGACAACCTGGCCACATAGCGAGACCCTATCTAAAAAAAAAGAGCAGTGGTTCCCCTGCAGCCTGTCCTTGCATCTGTGGGGATGGACTTTACAAGGTTGACACACTAGTTCTTTCTCTCTTTTTAGAAGTAATGTATTATGGCGAGACTCACAGATCATAAATGAACCATTTTAGCATTCACAGCCCCCTCTGCTAGTAGCACCTAGTGCCAGAATGTCCTGCTGTCATGCCCAGTCCTCCCCAGCACAGGGGACGGGCCAGTCTGCTTTCTGCCTACGGATTTAATTATTGAGGACATTTCATAAGAATGGAATCACAACTCATGGTCTTTTGTGACTGGCTTCTTTGAGCCCAGTGCTCTGCAGATCATCAACATTGTAGCAGGCATCAGAGCTCTGGTCCTTTTCGTGGCTGAGTAATATTCCATTGTGTGTGCTTTAGTCAGGGTTCTGCAGAGAAACAACCAATGGGATATACATGCAGACAGAGGCTGATCCTGGGCAATTGATGAACATGGCTGTGGAGGCTGTCACAGCCTGAGAGCTACAGTCAGCAAGCTGGAGACCCAGGAGAGCCAAGGGGGTAAGTTCTGATCCAAAAGCCAGCAGGCTAGAGACTCAGGAAAGGCCAGGCCGATGTCTCAGGCTGGGTGTGAAGGTAGAAAAGGCCAGTGTTGTAGCTCCAGCTCCACAGCAGGCAAGGGTACTCCGCCCAGGCCTTTCACTGATTGGACAAGGCCCACTCACATGGGGAGGGCTGTCTGCTTTGCTCCTCCATGATTCAAGTGTTCAATATACCCAGACCCACTCTGGATGTGTGCCAGGTGGTGCAGCCAAGGTGACAATTTCCTGTCACACGCGAGTCATCCATCAGCTGAGGGATGTCCAGCTGCTTGTGTTGTTGGGAGCCATGTTGCAGGACGCACACAGACACATGGACCTGTTTGAGTCTGCAGTCCACTGTCTTCACTGCCAAGTGGAGTTTTGGGGTTCTGGGAGTTCTTCAGGCAGAAGTCAGGCTTAATCCTCCCGCCTCTGAAGCAGAGAATCAGCCCACTTACCCTAATTGGAGTGTGGGCTCCCTCCTGGGACCTCCCGCCTCTCCACTGTCCCGGTGTGCAGCTCTATGCCCTGCAGGGACACAGTACAGGCCTCACGTAGTGTCCTCTGCCTCCCAACACAGGGGAGAAATCTTGGGTTCACATTTGTTCTTGGATGGTCAGACCTGGGGCAGACAGCACTTTGCAGTCAAACAGGGACATCAGCCTCCTTCCTGTCACTCTGATGTGAGGCCCTGGTGTGCCCTGAAGTGACAGGCCAGGTGGAGAGGCCCAGTAGGAGAAAGAGAAGGTGACCCACACCTACACTGAGCTGCTTGGTGCTTGAACTCCTGGGTGACCAGCCTCAGGACCACACTGGCTTTGTTCCACTCAGCCCACTTTGTCCCCTGGAAAGCACTCTGGTTCCCAGAACCTTCCAGACTCACCATGCACTCCGCCTGCTTAGTCAGGCCTGTGGCTCCCTTTGTCCTCCCAAGTGGCTGCAGTCCTCACTGCCTACCAAGGGGTCTTGTCACTACCCTGAGGCCCCTTCCCACCTTTCTGGGTCTTGGCTACCAGGAGCAAGGTGTCCCTCTGTGGCTATAAGAGATGGGAGAACACCAAGCTAACGGGATGGGGGCAGCCGCTGTCCTGGGGTTCTTCCAAATCTAAGGCCCTCTCCTCAGGCTGCAGCAGCCTTGCTTTGCAGCTGGGTTCCCACCTCCCTGCTCAGTGCCTGGCTCGGGTGGGCTGTAGACACCTATGGGACTTCTGAAATGGTGTGATCCCCAGCACCCTGGATGGGGACCAGCAACCCCTCCATTGCTCTCCTGCCCGGAGAGGCCCAAAGACTCCAGCAGTCTCAAGGCAAGATGGTCTCCCACCCCCAGAGATGAGCCAAACACTGCCAAATTTAGCAAAATCCAGAGGATTATTTTTATTGCAAATTAGTTAACAAAAAAGATGAAAAAAATACATCATTTCTATTATCTACAGTTTTGCATGTAGATAACTTTTTTTTTTTTAAGTTTCCTTTTTCTGTAAACTACACTCTATTTTATAAAACACAGTAAGAATCAACATCTTAGAGGTGTCTGGTCATACCACTGGGGATGGCACAACATTGCCTCCCAGTAAAGCCGGGAGGAGCTGCCCTGAGGAGATGGGCACCTGCCCTTGAGCGGCGCCCCCCCCTCCCCCAGCACATGGGGGACTGCGGGGACTTGGCAGGTGGGCGGGCAGCAGCAAGGCCGTCCCTGGGTTGTGCTCTTAGGAGCTATGGTTCTGGCAGCTGCAGGCAGGTCACAAGGCCTGGGCCTCACTGAGTCACATTCTGACATCCCTCATCAGCCTGACACAGGACAGACTTGTTCATTTAGATTTTTTAAACAAAATCCATCTTTAAAACCATATTTACAGACATTTACTCCGCCACAGGCTTATACTTGATGCTGTAGGAGCCTGCTGCTCCACTGGGCAAGCACCCCCTGAACTAGGAGGGCAGCCCGAGGACAGGCCCAGGCCACCCTCCAGCGGGTGCACTGAGGCTGGACACGGCACCCGGCAGAGACGGGCTGCTGGGAGAGGACCAAAGGACCCAGCCCTCGCTTCTCTAAAATCTCGGGCAGGTTGCTCTGCCGAGTCTGCTCTACACACAAGAGCCCTTCAGCAGTCAGGTCCGGGGAGCCCAGACCCAGGCTGCAACAGTCCATCCTCTGTCGAATTTGGACGATGCTGTCTATTCGAGGAGTGGTGCTGGGCCCCAGTAGGGATGGCCCAGGCAGGGTCCTTCCCCAGAAGAGGGCAGGGCTCCTCCCCGTGGCAGCACCTTGCATGCACACTCACTGCAAGAAAAGCTTAAATGTAACGTCAGGGGGCGGGGGTGGGTGCGGGGCGGGAGGGAAGAAGTTGCGATACCAGTGAACACTACGTAACACTGAACCCGAAACAAAGACTCATGATTGGTACCATGGAGCGTACTCTCGGTACTGCCAAGAACACATCTTTCAAAGCACATTTTAGGAACACCCAAACATACAAACCACATCATTTAACTTAAATTTCCTGTTTTAGACACAAATTAGCCCGTGTGCCCAAGGTGTGAAGGTTTTGCCCACCTCTAGAAGCATCTTCTACAAAACACAGGTGAGGCTGGGAGGAAGGGCAGCCGGCATCTGGGGAGAGGCCGGGCACCAGGGGATGTGGGGCGGTGGGGGGGGCGGGGAACAGACTTGGTGGGGGGGTGGCTTCTGAGCAGCGCAGGTTCAAATGTCCCTTCCCCAACATTAGTTCTTTTTGGATTGCAAAAACAAGGAATCAATAAATAAATGGCATTTATAAATCATGAATCTTTGTTCATATTTTACAAACATGTAAAGAATCTTCACCCTAAGTAGGAAAATCATAACCTTGAGAACTAGCTGTTTTTTTTTTTTTCTTGGAACAGATAAAAAAGTTTTTACCTGGTGTCATAGGAAACAGTACATATAAATAAAAAGGCAGTGTGTAAAATAAAAGTACATAAATAAATACTAAAAAAAAAAGTCAAAATCCTTCTCCTCTTATTTTGTATAAAAACATTTCTTTTTTTAAAGGCTCCTTTGGTCGCCCCTGCATCCTGGAGCACTGGAAACGCCCACCCTGTAGGGCCTGGGAACGGAAGCTAGGGTCCCTCGGGCAGCTGTTTACTTGAACGCCTCTGGAATGTGGGCGATCTGCGACTGCATGCTGGTGGGCGGGCTGGAGACGCCCTCGGACCAATCGGAGATGTTGGAATGTGGGGAGGAGCTGGACCACTGGTCAGGCGACTCAGGCGATGGGGTGAGGAAGGGATGCTCGGGCACCTGCAGTTGGTGGTTGGGGGTGTTGTCCACAGGCGAGGAGGAGTAGCTGTGCTGGGAGGGTGGAGTCAGGAACTGGGCAGTGGTCATGGATGGGACCAGTGAGGATGACAGTGACGTGGGCAGGGCCTGGCTCTCCGGGGGCAAGATGGTGTGCACGGTCAGGCTGCTGGGACCCAGCGGCTGCACATCTGCCTGGCTGGGCTCCCCGCCCAGGAAGCTCCGGCTCAGGTGCCCGTTGCCCGCTGCAGTCACTCCGAGGTGCGCCTGTGATGGCGGCTGCAGGTTCTGGGTCTGTGGGATGTTTGGAGGGGGCAGGTTCTGCTGCTGTATCTGCAGGCTCTGCTGTGGTACCTGCTGGGTCTGCACCAGGTGGGGCTGGGTGGCCAGCCGCGTGTTGGGCAGGCCTTGATAGCTTATCATCTGAGATAGCGTGTTGGCAGAGAGGCTCCCGTGCAGCGGGGCCATCACGCCGTGCTGGAGGGCGGGCGCCTGCGCGCTCAGGGAGCCGGGGGCCACGCCCCCTCGCAGCGGGTTGTACTGGCTTGTCACCATGCCATTCTGCAGCCGGGTCAGCCACTCACACTGGCCATTCAAGCTCGTGGCTGCACCCACAGTGAAATTCACGGCCCCTCCGCTGCTGGTGCCCAGGACGGTGCCGGTGCTGGAGGCCACGGGCAAATGGGAGAGGCGTGGGGGGCCAGGCTCAAAGGCCATCCGGCTGCCCCCACCCAGCGCTGCCATCTCTGGCTTGGCTGCCACGTTCAGGTGACCAAGGCCCAAGTGGGCATCAGGCATGCCAGGCAGGTGGTTGAGAGACATGGATGGAGACTGTTGGAACGGGGAAGGCAGAAGCGGTGGCGAGGCCACATCTGACAAGTAACCGTGGGGTGACTCCAGGGAGTCCACAGGCGACAGCATGCTTGAGCTGTCCAGCAAGCAGCCCTTGCCATCCTGGGGCTTCTTTCTCCGTGCCTTGAGGTCCTTGGCTTCCTTGCTGCCACAGGCCAGGCCTTTGGTGCTGGGCTTTCGGGCCTTCTTACCCTGTGCAGCAGGCTTGAGATTGCCCAGGTAGCCATTGGGCGAGCAGAGTGTAGGTGACAGGGTGGGCGTGCCACCCAGGGTGGCGCCATGCAGCTGGGGGCTGCGCACCAGGTTGTACTCGTCCAGTAGCCTCACGATGTCATGATGCATGCGCTCCTGTGCAATGTCACGTGGCAGGCGGTCCATGTGGTCTGTGATGTCCCGGTTGGCAAAGTGGTCCAGCAGCACCTTGGCAGTCTCGTAGCTGCCCTCCCGGGCGGCCAGGAACAGGGGTGTCTCTTCCTGGGGAACATGGGCATGGGGCATGGGGCAGGTGAAGGGCTGGGCCTGGCATGGGGACCTGCTGGGTCACCCGCCCCCCCCCCCACCTTGGTGGGAGGTGCGGGGGCAGTAGTTCCACTCCCTCCTCCCTCAGGACGGACCCTATATCATCTGACACCCAACCAGAGGGTTTGGTGGGACCCTTTATGCTAAATCCAGAGGGCTTTACTTCTGTGTGGTCATAGACACCACTGAAAAGGGTCTGAACTGCAGGCCGTTTACTCTCCTCCCCAAAATGCACAGATGCGAAATATTGCAGCAATTTCAGGGCTCAGGGCTCTCTAGAAGACATCTATGGACACACAGGGAAGGAACTTTCTGTCTAGAGGGTCACCAGTGGCCCTGGAATTTTGGCTCCTTCCCAGATTGGCTCTGCCTAGCAGACATGCTACATGCTCTGGTGAGGCTTCTGGGTGTGAGAAGAACCTCCAAGGTGTAGGGACCCATCAGCCTGTCCCTGAGTTTCTGAGGCTCTGTCTCTCCCACAGGATGGACACGATCATGCCCCAGGCCTCGTGCTGGACCTAAGTCCAACAGCACCCCCTAATGTCTGACACCTGCACGCAGCCCCGGCTATGTGCAATGTGGGGTGAGGGAGTTGGAAACTCTGTACCTCAGAACCCAAGTGCCAGAGGAACCCAATCACAGGCAGTGGATCACAATCCACCTCATCCAGTGAGGCAGGAGAAGCACAGCCCCGATCAGCAAACCATTTCCTTTTCTCTCAGGGAAATGGATGGCCGTGGGCTGGACCAGGGAGCAGGTTCCTCAGCTTTGCAGGAGGGTGCAGAACCACCCCACCCCAGCCTTCTGGCTGAACCTGCACCACCTGAGCCATCATTTGGTAGGGAACAGAAGGTGAGATCTGGGTAACGGTGCCAGAGGACAGCTGCAACTGCCCCAGCTCCTGGTCAGGGCAAAGGGAGTCTTCTGTGCTGCAGCCCCAGGTCCCAGGCTTGCCTGCACTTGGGGGGGGCGGTCAGGAGAGCTAGCAGTGTCCAGGATGTCCTGCTGGCAGCCTACACATATGTGCCCAGGAATGCCCACCACCACTCTGTGGGCGAGGTGACGCCTCAGCCCCAGCCCTCAGCTCACCTTGTTGTTCTGCATATCCTTGTTCGCGCCATTCTTCAGGAGCACAACGGCGGCATCCACGTTGTTCACAGCAGCTGCCCAGTGCAGGGCCGACTTGCCTGGAGGGGAAGTGGATATAGAGTGGGTCAGGGGCAGACCAGGCAGCCGTCACACATCCCTGCCAGCTGGGCTGCATCCTGGGCCTACCCAGGTCGTCCACGGCATTGACATCAGCATGCGAGTTGATTAGGTCCTCTAACATCCCTTCCACGGCCAGGCGGGCAGCCAGGATCAGCGGTGTCGTGCCATCGTGCATGCGGGCATCCAGGTCTGTGGCTCGGTTCCGGATCAGGATCTGGACAGGGAAGGACCCAGTGAGGGGGCAGCAAACATAAGCCCCATGCCTCCAGCCAAAACTGGTGTCTGGACCGGAGCCCAGCTTTACCCTGTCCCCTCTGTATCTGAACAGCTTCAGCAAGATGAGCACTCATGGTGCAGGAGGAGCCAGAGCCCACACAGCCCAGTCCAGCCCATTGGTGTCGGTGGAGGTCCATTTGTGGCCTCATCTAATGGTTCTGGCTGCCACGACCACCTCCAAAACAGGAGTGAAGCTCCTGCCCACCACCGTGCATGCAGCTGGGTTGTAACCCCAGCTCATAGCACTCCACCATACTCAGGACCGCTGAGCTAGGCTGCATCCATCTAGGTTCCTGCAAAAAGGATAGGGTGTGCCTTGCCCTGAGTCACAGGCAGGAATCTTAGTCACTATATGCTTGCTGGTGAGAAACACATACGCACAGCAACCTGCAGCACTGCCTGGACTCCTGCAGAGTGACCTCCGATCTTTGTCTCCATGTGCAAAGTGAGCCGTTTGGACAGGCACACACCAAGCATGGACAGGGCCTCCCCTGGGGCTCATTTTGATTTTCCTCTTGTGCCTCAGTTTCTCATTTCTGCAGAATGACAGTGTGTCACTCCAGCTAAGAGATTATTAAGTGCAAGCTTTGTGGTGATGTCTGGTTTGTGCCCCACCTGAGCCTGCTCCAGGGCAGAATGAAGCCTGGGGACTGGTAGCGGTGGTCACCAGCTGGCAGCGTGCAGAAAGAGCCACTGCTAAGGATGATCTCTGGAGACCCAGCATCCAAATCCCTAAATCTATCCTGACTGGTCCCAGGCTCCCCAGCAAGGCCAGAGCCCTGGTTGGCAGGCCTTAAGCAGCACCCCTAAAGACCTCTTCTTATTGCCATGGGTTATGCCTATGGCCATGGCTGAATGGGTTATGCCTATGGCCATGGCTGAAAAGAAGGGGAGAGGCTGGCAGGCCAGCAGCACTGGGACTGGGACCTCCAGCAGGACCCGTGACCCTGAGACAGGAGCCTGTGTTGGGTGGGGGTAAAGAAGACACACTGCCTCACCCTGCAGCTTCCCTACACTTCCCACTTGGCCACCTCTGGCTTCCCCAGGGGGTAACAGAGGAGCTCGACTCCCTCCCAGCATGCTTCTTTCAGCATGCAAAGGTCCAGGGTGGGGATATCAGCTGCCTCTGCCTAAGGTACACTCAGAATCAAGACTCACAGAGCCACAAAAGTCAGGTTGCTGCCCCAGACCAGGGTGGTGGCCCTGTATGGGCAGCCGTTCCCTACCTGGAAGACGCCCTGTGCGTCAGCAGAGACAGCCGCGTGCAGCGGGGTGCGCCCCATGTTGTCCTGGATATTGGCGTCTGCACTGGCCTCCAGCAGGCGCTTGGCAGCATCGGAACGTGAGTAGCGGGCAGCCAGGTGCAAGGCGGTCTCGCCAGTGCGGTCTGTCTGGTTGTGCAGGCTGGCACCCTGGTAGATGAAGTCTGAGATGACCGCTGGTGCGTCCTCCTCCTCTTCGCTGTTGCCTGTCTCCAAGCCCCCGCCGCTGCAGGAGGCAATCATGAGGGGAGTGAAGCCGTCTGTAGAAACAAGCAAAGGAGGTTCAGTCAGGGAGAGCCAGTCCCCAGCCATGACTCCGGTGTGCTGTGGCCCTGCCATGCCACCAAGGGCTGCTGAAGTCACCCTGAGTTTCTCAAGCACGGAGCCCAAGTCTAGTTGTCAACTTGCCAGTGGGCGATGAAGACCTCTCCAGTTTTGCTGTCTCTCCTGCCCAAGACCTCACACCAAAACCCACCCAAGAAAAAGATACAAAATGTGCTCTTAGAAAATCAACACTTTGCTATCTCACAAAGCAGCCTTTCAGGGGCAAGGGTGAAATTACAGGAGCAGAGGGAGCCTGGAGGATCAACTCAGAAAGGGAGCCTACTTCCTGGGCTCCTCACCCTTCTCCTGGCTGGAAGCTCTCCTCCTCCCCTGCCAGCCTCTCAGTCCACACTGGGTAAGGGGGATGATCAGGTGGCCTTACCGGGCCCACGGACATTGACATCCATGCAGTCGGCGTCCACTTCGCCCTGGGGTGGCGTGGGGGCCATGGCAGACATGCGCAGGTCGGCGGCGTCCAGGTGCTGCTGCGTCCACTGCCGGTGGTCTGTCTGATCATCTAGGTCAGGAAGAACCACTGGCTCCTCGAACTAAGTTTGGAGGGGATGAGCAGAGAACCACATCACACAGAGCCCCAGGCACTGGACGCTCTTCTGGGATAGCCCAGAATCCCGCTGGACTCACCCGGAACTTCTTGGTCTCCAGGTCTTCGTCCCCCCACTCGTTCTGGTTGTCATCCATGAGGGCACCATCTGAGGCATTCTTCAGAGGCCTGGGCGAGGGGGGTCACAGGCAAGACTGAGTGGGCTCCCCAAGAAATACCCTGCAGCCATGGCTTAGGTGTCCACCTGTCTGTCACCCATGCACCTGGCTCAATGTCAGGGCAGGGCCCAGAGGCCAACCCCCAGAAGGATGCCCAGCCGGGCCATGCTTTCCCCTCCCCGGGGGCTGGGGGCAGTGTCCACTCACTTGAGGCCCACAGAGTCCTCGCCGAGGGGCTCCCGCCGCTTCTTCTTGCTGGCCTCTGACACCTTGAAGCCCTCGGGGAACCAGAGCTGGCCATGCTGCCGCCGACGCTTGCGGGACAGCAGAACCCCACAGCCCACGAAGAACAGCAGCACAAAGGCGGCTGCGGCCACATACATGAGGTGCAGCTGCGAGGGTGGCGGTGGCTCCACGGTCTCACCTGCAGGCAGGGGACCCGGGCGGGCGCCCACGTCAGGCGCAGCTATGCAGCGGACCGGTGGCCGGGGGGCGGCAGACTGGCTCTGCGGCCGGCGCCTCCTCACCCACTCTCCTCCATCCCGCCCCCCAAAATAAGGTCATTTTCTACGCGATTAATCAGAATTGCAAACTATCACTAAATTCTCTCCAGCAGCAGCCGACTCTGTCTGGAGACGGCTTTCACTTTTTCCCTTTCAGGGAGGAGGATTAGCCAACTTCAAATCACTGCACTCACATTGAGCTGCTAAGACAAAGGATTTAGGGGGATTTTCAAGATACAAACTTCAACACTTCACATGACACCGATCAATTCTCTCTCTCTTTCTCTCTCTCTTTTTTTTTTTAAAAGCTGTAATGATTTTGAAATAATACCCAACAAAGAAAAATCAGGGGGAAGGGATAGGGAGAGAAAAAGGCTCCCACTTTCTGGTGGGGGTGCTCATCCCCTGAGGCAGCTCTGCCGACAGCTGTCACCACTGGCAAGGAGGTGTGCCATCCAGAAAATTCCAGAAGCACTTCCTGAACTGTAGATTGCAGGACCCACACCCGTGGTGGCAGCTGGCACAAGAAGGGAGAGAGCCTTAGGAATGGTAGGGGGGGGGGATAAACAGGCTGAGCCCCTCCTAGGTAGATTTTCCCTCCATGCAAGCCATCTGTGGAGTTAGGCTGCCGGCCACTCACTCTGCACAGCCTCGATCTTGTAGGGGATGTTGAGGCTGCCAAGCGAGGCCAGCGCCCCCAGGAACGCAGCCACATCGGTGGCGCTCTGGAAGCACTGTGAGGACGACTGCATGCACTGTCGATTGTCAATCTCCAGGTAGACGATGGACCTGTGGACACACCAGTCAGGGCTGGGTCCAGATGCTTCCTGTGCCAGCCAGCCCAGTTCCCCAGTGCCAGCCAGCCCAGTTCAGTGCCTGGGCATCAGCTCTGACCTCTACACCTATCCTGAGGGCAGGGAACAGGTCTGATAGCAACAACCCTGGAAGTAGCCTGTCTCCCTGAGCCCACCAGTGAAGCCTCCAGTACTCAGCCTGGACACAACACAGCAGGTGCTCACCACACAACGTGCTCCCCCTGCTCTGTTGTCCCTGTGGCTTCCTTACATGCCACAAATACTCCTTTTCTTCATCTTGGGAGACAAAGAATGTTCTCAGGGGCCCAGGGCCTTTCCAGGAGCTGTGCCTGGGCCCCACAGAAGCAGCACAGGAGGAGGAAACACAAGGTAGCAGACAAGAAGCTGGTAGGGACGAGGTTTACACACCAGCCAGGGTGCCCATCTGAGGATTCTAATGTGGCCTCCTTGTGACAATATGCTTCTGCCCATTACGGCTGGAAAAGCCACGAATGGGAACTGCTGAAGCCTTGATACTCCAAGGTACCAGCTTCCCTAGCTCAAGAAGGACCAGGAGGGAGGCTACAGGGCCCCCCAGAAGCAGGACATGTGGGCCAATGAGCTGAGCCAGAGATTTTGCCCCAGGTGACTCTGCACAGCATCCATGAGCTGCTCTCGCTGTGCTCCCCCCACATGGCCTGTGCTCAACTCCTCAGCCTTCTGGGTCCAGCTGTAGCACTCCTCTGAGAGGGCACCCAGCCTGCCTCTCCTCAGTGAGGACACAGTGGTCACAGGCACTGAGCTGCACTCTTGTCTAGGGTAGAATCGGCCCTGTTGGAGCCTCTGGAGGCTTCAGTCAGCTCTGTCCCCAATGCCCGGTGCATAGCAGAACCTCAAAACCACCTTCCAGGTGAAGGAGTAAAGCCTCCCAGGCACCAGGAAAAGGGTGGACTGCAGAAAGAACATGGGCTGTGGGGCCGAAAGCCCTGCTTGGGAATGCTGCCTCTGCTCTGACTGTGCCAGCCCTAAAGTCCCAGGTCTTCCTGGGACCTCTGTCTCGTCTCGTATAAATGGGGTGAGCACCGCGTGACCAGGGGCAGCCTAGAGGATCAAGCAGAGCTCGCAAGAGGCCCTGGAGATGGAGCTGATTTACTCACCCACGGATGTCCATGGGGTCCAGCTCCCTGCGTTGGCGCCCACCGCTGCCACCAGGGAGCAGTGCGGGCGTGGCCTGGCTGAGCCGGGAGCCGGGCACGGCCCAGCCCACCGTGGAGCGTTTGTTGATGGGATGTTTTCGCAGCTCCTCCTCGCGCCCATAGTAGGGGAAGATCATCTGCTGGCCCTGCGCGTCTCGCTTGAAGACCACGTTGGTGTGTAGCACGTGGCTGAGCTCGCGCAGGAAGTGGAAGGAGTTGTTGCGTAACTGCTCGGGGGGAAGTAATACCACCACCACCAGCGTGCCGGCCGCCAGCCGCTCGGGCACGTGCTCTGCACAGTCCAGCCCGTCCCACTCGCACTCGGCACTGTTGCAGCCCTGGTCGCAGTGACCGTCACTGAAGTGGTCTTTGCAGTACTGGTCGTACAGGGGGCTGTGGGGAACAGGATATGCTCAGGCTGCCTTCCAGCCTGGAGCCTTTTCCCACCATTGCCAGCCTTGCGGATGCCCCCCACTCCCTGGGCCAGACCTGCCCCTTGTCCCCGTGTTGTCATGTTCAAGCCTGGTCCTTCCTCCACTGGCCCAGCTATCCCTATGAGTCCATGAGCCCCGGGACACCAAGACAATTCTGCCTTACTTGCACTGGCTTTCTGTGCGCTGGCAGTCAAAGCCGTCGAAGAGACAGCCAGCTGAGTTGCACTGGCTGTCACAGTGGCCATTGCTAAAGTACTTCCAGCACTGCAGGGACTGTGTACAGTTCTTCCAGGGGTCGTTGAAGTTGAGGGAGCAGTCACCGCCGTCCCATCCGCACGCATGGTTGTTGCACTGCAGGCTGCAGACCTTGTTGCCGGCGTCCTCCTGGCACTCGGGCAGCTCACAGGCCTCCTCGATCTGTGGTGGGGGAATGTCCCGCCCTGCGCCACCCGTGAAGCTGTAGTCCAGGATGTGACACAGGAGTCCATTGAACTTGGCGGGGCACAGGCAGCGGTAGAAAGGGCTCTCGGACATGGGCTCACAAGTGCCTTGGTTGTAGCAGGGGTTGCCACCCACGCAGGGACTGCTGGCCGGGAATTGGCACTCAGGGCCCGTGAAGGGACCCTGGCACAAACAGGTAGGGCTTCGAGGGCCCGAGACGCACGTGCCACCGTTGAGGCAGTGCAGGCTGCCACAGGTGCGGGCATCGTTCTCACACGTGGCACCTTCAAAGCCCTGTTGGGAGGGAAGGCAGCTGACCACCAGACACATGCACCCTAGTGTAGGCCTGGCCCAGTCCCTTATCTGGGAGAGGGGACTGCGGCCTGCCCCAAGCAGCACAGCCCTGAAAATATATTCTCTCCACAGTGAGTAACAATATATTGGTGTCCCTTTCACTGTGACCCACTTCCAAGGCAAGATGGTAACCAAGATGGGGTGGGGGAGTTTGGACACTTCTGCACTTGCCCTCAATTTTTCTGTAAGCCTAAAACTGCTTAAAACTAAAGTTTACTAAATTTTTTTTTTTTTTGATAGTGGGGTTTGAACTCAGGGCCTCATGCTTGCTAGGCAGACTAATTTTTTAAAATGAAGGGCTGGGGTGCTGAGTGATAGAATGCTTGCCTAACATGTGTGAGACCCCCGAGTTTCATCTCAGCATAGCAAGGAAGAAAAACTTAAAAATGAGCTCAGAGCAGTGAGGATGAGGAGGCCCAGGGCTCCACCCCCAGCCTCTGCCTGAGGCTCTTGGGCTGACTGGAGATGGGTGAGGGTGTGCACGGAACAGGTCCAACTGAGGCAAGAGCATGGGGCAAAGGGCCTCCCCACCTCCCCTCTTCCCGCCCTCCTGCAGAGGCTGTACCTACCGCAGGACACCTGCAGATGAATCCGCGGGCAGTGTTGGCGGCCACGGCGCAGGTGCCCCCGTTCTTGCATGGCTTGCCCTTACAGCCATTGATGACAGACTCACAGCGGCGCCCTGCGTGAGAGTGGACGGTGAGGCGCCAGACCCTGCCTGACCCCAGGCCAGCCCACCAGCCCACAGCACTCACCAGTGTGGCCGGCACGGCACTCGCAGTGGAAGTCATTGATGCGTTGCACACAGTTCTGGGTACCGCGTGGATCGCAGGGGTTAGACAGGCACTCGTTGACGTCACCCTCGCACCGCTCTCCTACGAAGCCGGGCGGGCAGGTGCAACTGTAGCCACCCACCTGGTCCATACAGGTGCCATTGTTGAAGCACTTGGGGCTGCGGGAGGTGGGGTCAAGAGGGGGGTTGCAGTCGTCCACATTGATTTCGCAGTGCACACCTGCAGAACAAAGGATGCCATCAGGGGCTGACACTGGCCACACCCCAGCCCCACCTTGTCGTGTGTCTCCTGGCCCCACAGGCAGTCAGGACTGGGAGCACACAGGTGGGACAGTGCAGGTACAGGCCTCCTGCTGGGACACTCCATGTGGACCCCTTCCTTGGTTGGCTCTGCAGCTGCCCTTGGCTCCACAAGGCAAAATGGGGTTTCTGACTGATTCCAGGACACCTCTGGCCAGTCACTGGGTGACTTGTTTGCTTTTCCCTCTCTGGACCCAGCGCTCTGGTGGTGGCCTTACCCTGTGTACCCCGGGGGCAGGAGCACTTGTAGGTGTTTGTGAGATCGATGCAGGTGCCTCCATTCTGGCAGGGGTGGGACAGGCACTCGTTGATCTCCTCAGAGCAGTTGGTCCCATGGTAGCCTGCCATGCACTGTGCAGGGAGACAGAGCACAGGGCAGGATAGCAGCTCAGTTGGAGCTGTAACAGGATAATCTTCCCACACCACCGTGCAGGCTGACAGGGCCACATAAAGGGTGTTTGTGCCCAGTGATACCTCCAGCCTCCCTGCCCAGCAGCCCTGGAGGAAGACACCTGACCAGCATACCCAGAGCAGAGTTCATAGTCACTGCCCAGTTGTCCCATAGCAGAGGCGAGGGCCTCAGGGAAGCTATCAGCAGAGCCCAGACACAAACTGGGGGAAAGGGTGCCCTTCTTTTCCTCCTCCAGGCAACCTTCCCTGATTACGCAGCCCTCCCTTAATTGTGCACAGGTCAGTCAGGTTCAGTCTGCCCAGCTGTGCCAGCTCCCAGTTCAATCAAAGCCCCTGTGTGGCAACACTCATGCCACATACCCCCACCTCGGGACGGCCCACACCTTGCAAGAGTAGCCGCCCAGATAGTCGGTGCAGGTGGCCCCATTTTGGCAGGGGCTGGGTGAGCACTCATCCACTTCATCCTCACAGTAGCTGCCTGTGTAGCCAGCCTGGCAGCGGCAGTGATGTGTGTTGTTTGTGTCCACACAGAGCCCTCCATGCTGGCACAGGTGAGCTATGTCAATGCCTGTGGGGGGACATGACAGGAGGCAGGTGAGGCCTGGGCTCCCTTCCCGAGGACAACCACGGGCCTGGCCCATGCCATTCTGACCTGGTGGGTGTTGGGGGATCCTGGGCCTGGGCTAGGCCAGGACAAGGGCCTGTGGGGTTGGTTGTGACAGTTACCTCGCCGCCGTGCAGCCACCTCGCAGGACACACTGGGCACGTCACAGTAGAGGCCTGTCCAGCCGCTGTGGCACTCGCAGCGGTACAGAGTATTAGTCTGCCAGCACTTGCCACCATTCTTGCAAGGGGAGGAGTCACACCAGCGCACGAGGTTCTGAGGACAGGTTGAGGTCAGTGGCCTCACCCCTGACAGCTGTCAATTGGGGTGCCTTCCTGCTGCCCACCCTCCAGCCAGCTAACAATTGGGGCATCCACCTGTTGTCCCAATCCCCCAGCAGCTCAGAAAGGATGTTAGCCAAAGATCCCCTGCAATGGGAGATGGTGTCCCCATCCTACAGGGAATAGGCAGTAAGGATGGAGACCTCTAGGCTGCTCACAGGGCTCACAGCCCCCTCCCCCGAGTCCCCCGCCTCCTGCCCCAGGAGCAGTTGAACTCCTCCTCTCTCGCCTTCACTCAGGGCCTCAGCAAACCCAGACCCACTGGACGTAGTCTGGACGCCTTTTCTAACTGATAGATATGATGTCCACGAGCACCAGCACATCGTCCACACGCCTGCCTATCTCCTCCAAAGCACCAGCTTTCCCAGTTCCTGCCACGGAACCTGGAGGGTCTCAGTTGCACCTCCCTGAGCCCCTGAAGGGCAGCCTGGCCCAGGGCCTGGGCACCACTGACCATTCAGATCCCCAGGGACCATGTGTCCCACCGGAGTCTGACTCTCCTTTTCCCCAGTGGCTACACAGGCCTCTCAGGTCCTCTTGCCCACACCTGCGCAGTCACAGCTCACCTGGCAGTTGAGGCCAGTGTAGCCCTGGGGACAGGTGCACTTGTAGGTGCCATAGCTGTCCTGGCAGGTGCCACCGTGCAGGCAGGGCCTTGAGTCGCACTCATTGACATCATATTGGCAGTAGCTGCCCGTGAAGCCAGGTGGACACAGGCAGGTGAAGGAGTTGATGCCGTCCACACAGGTACCCCCGTTGAAGCAGGAGCTGAAGGCAGGTGAGCAGCAGGGCAGGGGGTGAGTGGGTGCAGGGAGATTCTCACTGGAAGGAAGCACCTCCCCAGCAGACACATGTCATGCCATGCCTCCCTCCTCTACCGTTTTTCTGAGAAGGGCTTTACAATACACAGAGGCGTGTGGTGGTTAAAAGAAAAACAAGGGAAAAATCAGAAAACTATGGGAAACAGGTATGTCACTTGGCTTCCTGACAACCAAGGCACAAAGGAAACAAGCTCTTGTCTGATAGAAGGAGACACACGGATTCTGCTGTATAAACTATGGGGTTTCCTGGTTCTAGATCACAGAAAGGGTCACAATGGCCCTTTCAGGAGGAGCACTGCAATACAATGAACAATGTCAGACTCAATTCAATCAGTGTTGAGTGCCCATTGGGTCTGGCAGACACCTGCTTGGGGTGCCAGGTTGTCAGACACTGTTCCCCCCCCGGCTCTGCTGAGGCTAGGCCAGGTCCCCCACGGTGGCCCCTTGTGAGGTCTGCATCTAGAACAGTCCATGCAGCCCTGCCTGCAGCCCCACACACCTCTCGGTGCAGTCGGGAGTGTTGTTCTCACAGTGGATCCCGTTGAACCCCGCAGGGCAAGTGCAGGTGTAGCTGTTCACACAGTCGGTGCAGTTGGCGCCATGGCGACAGGGGTTGCTGGCACACTCGTTGATGTCCTCTTCGCAGAAGGCACCCTGGAAGCCGGGCAGGCAGTCGCAGAAGGCCATGTTGATGCCATCCGTGCAGGAGCCCCCATTGTGACATGGGTCTGCAGGGGATAGGAGGGCAAGCCTAAGCATGGGCACCAACCCATGCTGCAGGGGATAAGGTTGGGAGAGTGGCACAGCACTTCCAGGGCTTGTGACAAACCTCCAAGGTACTGACTGGGGCCCCTCTACCCTAGGCTACACCCGCTCTTGGGCTTGGGTTCTGTGCTCCCACTCCCTGCTCACTCCCCCACTCAGGCTGCACGGTGAGATGGACAAGCCATATCCGTCTCACACTCGATGGACCAATCAAAGGTGAGTGGCGGTCTCTGCAACCCTCCCCTCCAGTGGATGGCGCCAGGCAGGCCCTCGGATTCTCCAAGCCTTGGCTGTGACCCATGATGGGGGCAGTGTGAGAGTCCTGCCCCTCAGTGGGCCTGACAAGGACTGAGAAAGCCAGAGTGCAGCACGGTCATGGAGAATCGGTCTCATCACATAAGCACTCGTGAGGCTCCTGATGCCTCTGCCCCATGTCACTGCCAGCTGGAGGGGCTGGGCTGGCTGGGCAGGCTGCCTGCAGAGCTTCCAGAGCCACTTTGGTCAGCCCATGTGAGGCCTGCAGTGGTGCTCCACAGGTGGCAGCCACCTTCTAGCATGTCCCTATTAGCTACAGGTGGATCCAGGTGAGAGCTCAGCCTGTCTGGGCCAGCTGACACCACCTGGGTGGGCACTGACAGCCATTCTCCCATCTGAAAGCAAGGAGCTCCCTGTCTGTGCCCTCTGAGAGGACAGACGCCTGAGCACAGAGGTGACAGAGCTGGGCACCACTCACTGGGCCGGCAGTCATCGATGTCACTCTCGCAGTTGTGGCCTGTGTAACCAGCCTGGCAGAGACAGCGGTAGCCCCCATTGGTGTTCTGGCAGGAAGCGCCGTTCCGGCACGGGTTCTTCACACACTCGTTGATGTCAACCTCACAGGTCTGCCCTGCAAGGTGAGGAGGACAGTTGGTCACCACAACCTTTACCTCCTGGCCTTTGTTCCAGCCGACCCCCCAGGGCAGGCCTCCTCAGCCCAGCACTGTCCTCTGTTCCCAGCTTTGTGCCAAGTAAGTCAGGTCTGTTCCTGCTTATAAAATCTCCCAAATATGAGGCTTCTGCGCACCCATGTGCTCGCTCATCTCTAAAGATGGGTGCCAACTCCCTCCTGCCTGGAACTGACCCAGGACCCTTGGACCTCCTGGACTCCCTGTCCCAGTCCAGTCAGGACAAGGTCAGCCTCACCCTGCCAGCCTGTGGGGCAGATGCAGGAAAAGCTCTCGTAGTCCTCAGATTCCTTGCATACCCCACTGTTTTTGCAGGGGCTGGGGACACACGGAGCCAGCACCACCTCACAAGTCGCCCCTGGGGAAGAAAGACACTCAGTGAAACCCAGGGCCCCTAGGTTCCATGGCTCCTCCTGGTCATCCACCATCAGCAACCTCAGCTGGTCCTGTAGCAGGCAAATATGCCAGGGACCCCGTGTTCTCTGGCCAAGCCCAGACCCTAACCCTGGGGGAGGAGTGGGCCAAGGGCAAATGCCTGAAGCTGAAGACGAACTAGAGAATGGCCTCACCCTGAAGCCAGGTCCTGTCTCCCACAGGCTGTGGGGCACAGCCTGGGCCTCACCTGGCGGAGGACCCAGAAGCAAGAACGGCACAGGCGGCCTCAGCCTATGGGGACCTTCAGCTCGCTCCCACCTGAGTCCCTCGTCTCCCAGTGACAAGGAAAAAGCTCCCGAGCTGGTCCTGGGGCTCTGGGTCACAGAGGGCTATTGACAAGGCTGTGACAGAGGGACAGGTCTGTCACCACCCTAGAGGAGTTGCCAAGCCACTTGTAAGGGAGCATGAACACAGCTTCAGGGCCTCAGGCTGGGTTGGGAAGCCTGGTGAGCCACCAAGGGAACTGTGCACCCTGGGGGTGACGCTCCCCACAGCCTAGGCTGCTTTTCCTGTTTATAGCCATTGGCTGGCCGCCAAGAAGAAGGAAGTGCTCTCTTCCCCGCCTCTCACAGTGTCCCCTGCCCGATGCTGTGACTTTCCAGGGCCTCTCTTTCTATCGGTTTCCATGGTGACCTGGGCAGGCAGGAACTTCGCCAGAGTTTCCGGCAATTGTACAAAGGGAAGCAGGAAGCGGGCAGACAGGAAGCGGGTCAGCACAGGCCGGCTCCTCCCGCCAGGCCCGATATCAACGAGTCCGAGAGGGACACAGGGTGCTCCCAGCTGCTGACAGTTTCCTCACTGACCGACATGGGAGACAAAATCCAGGCCTCTAACTTTGGTGAAAGAAAACACCATCCTGACCATGGGCCGCCGAGTGTCATGGGAACACAGGCGTGGACCCCCACCCTGCCCAGGCCCTCTCAGGACGCCCAGGGCCTGTCAGCAGCATGGGGCCCAACCATCCCCTCTGGCCGTTCCCAGGGGGCGGTGCAAGGCCCTGGACTTTCATGTTCAACGCTTTGCGTATCTCTCCAACAGGGGGCCTATTTCCCGCCATCCCCCTGGCAGGGCTCACAGTAAGGGCTGGACACTCAGGGAAATGTATCTCGCCTCTGCTCACCAGAACAGAGAGCTCCTTGTCCCCTCAAACAAAGAGGCCGCCATCAAAAGAATCCTTAGGCCCAGCCAGTGGAGGAGACTCACCCAGCCCCCAGAGGCCCATGCAGAGTGGACGCCAGGCCATGGAGGTCAATAGCCTAGCTCCCAATCCTGCCTGCAGAGGATTCTACCATGCTAATTCCCATAAAGAGTACGAAATGATAAAACACCAGGACCCATCGATACCAAAAACTCCCTTCCAGGCATCCGCGACATCTGCTTACACTACAGGGCTATGACTAAGTGCTGTGGGGCGTAAGACCCTCGCTGAACAGCTGAACCTTCCAGAATGCCTAGTGAGCAACAGATAAGCCCAGCCCGAGAAAGTCACCACTGCAGATTGTGGCTGGAGTGTCCCCAGCCTTCCATACCTGTGTAGGGCAATGGGCAGTTACACTTGTACCCAGCGACATCGTCAATGCAGGTGCCCTGGTTCAGGCATGGGTTGGATGCACACTCATTGATGTTGGTCTGGCAGTTGGGGCCTGGAGGGAGAGGGGCAGCAGCGGGTGGTCAGTGCCCAGGCATCGCCACAGGGCTCCACTGCAGGAGCCCAGGGCCTGTCCCTTTCCGGTGCCCCCCACCCCCTCCTTGGCAAGCCAGGGCCCAACCCAGAAGAGGATGCTATGCGCTGTGCTGGTTGCAACCCCGGGCCCTGAACTCCCTGCCAGCTGCCAGTCCTGGGCCACCTGGGAGGACACTCTCTGCTGTGACAGCCCAGCCCTACTCACCACTGAAGCCTCCCCGGCAGGTGCACACATAGCCGCTGGTCATGTCTTTGCAGGTGCCACCATTGACACAAGGGTTCGACTCACACTCATTGTTGTTGATGTCACAGTTTGTCCCACTCCACCCGGGGTCACAGTCACACTTGTACCTGGAAAAGTGACAACACTGCAGGTCAGCATGGCCTAGGTGGTGCAGGCCTGAACTCTGGGCCCTCCCGGCTCTTCCATGGTCTCATGGTTTGATGTCAGGGAGATGACCGTTCACGTGGACACGCGAAGTCCTTTAAAGTGAGGGTGGTGGCACCCACTTTGCCCAACACCATGGCAAGGATTTCATTACACCAGATCGGAGACTGTGCAGTGCAGACGGTGCAATCAGTATTACTGCTGAAGGGTCCAGAGCCAGAGGCCCACCTCTGCTGCCCGGCTGTGTGACCCTGACAATGTATTGACCTCCTCTGTTCAAAATGACTTAAATGGCCCCTTCCAAGCAAAGTGGTGCCACACATATCACAGATGTCAGAAACGCTCCTTGTGGCTGCTACACAAGAGGATGTTTTGGGATCCCTTAGGACCTATGTCCTGAGATGACAATGGCTGTAAGGACATACAACTCAGGGCCGCAGGGAGGAGACCAGGCGGACAGAGGACCGGGACAGCTGTCTGGGTATGATGGCCCTCTGTCCTTACAGGAACATCCACCCACCCACCCGGGCAGCCAAGGCCACCTGCAGGCACCTTGAGCTTCAGGCAGGTGCCTCCCTGACACCCAATATGGTGGTGTGTGGGGGTCTACACAAGAGCCCCCGCCTGCCTCGTACCCGTTGAGGCTGTCTCGGCAGGTCCCGTGGATGCAGGGGTTGCTGTTGCATTCGTTGACCTCAGACAGGCACGTGGGGTCATGGTAGCCCTCGGGACAGCGGCAGGTGAAGCCAGCGATGCCGTCCTCACAGGTGCCCCCGTTGTGGCAGGGGTTGCCAGCACACTCATCAATGTTGATACTGCACATGCTCCCTGCAGTCAGGGTGGGGACTCAGACACTGAGCACAGCACCCAGGGCCCACCCCTCCAGGGACCTGAGATCTCCCCATCTGGGCCTCAGCTTCCCTGTCTGCTAATCTGATAACCTTCCTCCCAGTCATTCCGAGATGGGGCAAACTGCTTTACATAGCAGTGACCGTGTGGCTGCTGTGCCAGTGTCTACTTCCTCCTGTTGTCTTCCCAGGAGCTCCCGGGGCAGGAGTTGCTGAAATCCCCTATGACTGATGACAGCCTGGAGCCTGCAGGGGCCGAGGATTTGCTCAAGGGCAGATGGTGGGTGGCAGAGGCAGAATGGCTGCCCAGCAGCCTGGCCTCAGAGAGCTGACCACTTCTTCTTGGCCTGCTAAGCTGTCATGTTTGACATGGCCAGGGCCAGCACTGACCAGGATAAGAGTGTGGGGGCATTCCCAGCCTGTCTGTGGTTTTCACTCATGGCCCAGGCTGTCACCTTGACACCTGAGCTTGGCTGCCCTATGCCATCTCAGCCCTGGGACCCCCAACTAGCCCCAGAATCCCCCCAGGCCTGACCTCCTCCTCTGACCTCAGGCTGGACTGTCCTTATACCTTGAGGAAACGCACCTGTGTAGCCTGGCTCACAGGCACACTCATAGCCATCAATCTTGTCCAGACATGTGCCCGCCTCGCAGGGGTTACTAGCACAGTCGTCCAGGTTAATTTCACAGTTGGGTCCTGGGGAGCAGGTGGCATGGGGTGGTCAGCTCCCAAGCTACACCTTGCCCCACCCACCAGTCACCAGCCCTGGCCAGGCACCTGTGGTCCCCTTGAGGCAGAAGCAGAGGTAGGCATTGTCGCGGTCCTGGCAGGTGCCTCCATGGCGGCAGGGCTGGCTATGGCACTCATTGATGTTGGTCTCACAGTGGTGGCCTGTGTAGCCTGGCTGGCAGAGGCAGGTGAAGGTGGCAACACCGTCCTTACAGGAGCCATAATGACAGGGGTCAGGGTCACACTCGTCAATGTCCACCTCACAGTGGGTCCCTGTGTAACCTGGATCAGGGGAGGGAAGGCACAAGAGGGCTTAGGGCCAGTGGTTCTCTAGACACTCAGCTGTCCCCATCCAAGGAATGGCTAACCAGATCCAAGCTCATGTGTCAAATCAGTGACCGACGTGGGTGTGTCATATTTTGAGGTGTTCTCACCACCCCCACCTGGGCCCAGAGCTGAACTGAACTGTGCTCTTGTTCCCAAACCAAGGCCTCACCAATCTCCTTTTCCCAGCCGACTGCCCCGTCCCCTGGACCCCACACTGCCTCTCCTCCCTTACCTTCCGTGCACACGCAGGTGTAGGTGTTGGGCCCATCCAGGCACTTGGCGCCGTTCTTACAGGGTGTACTGGCACACTCATCCACGTCATACTGGCACAGATGCCCACTGAAGCCTGTGGCCAGGGAGGAGGTGGGAGTCACACCATAGTGGCATGGCCCCTCTTGCGCTTCTCAGCCACACCCTAGCAGGGAGTGCCCAACTGGGCTTCCAGAGGTGCTCTCACCCCAGGCTTGGCCGATCCTGGGGTTTCTCCCTGCTCCTTTGACCTGCCCCTCTGATCAAAGCCCCTGCTCGCTTGCTCGCTCGGCAGTGTCCGCCAGCTGCCTCCCCTGGCTCAACAGAGGGGCTTTTTTCCCAAACCAACTCTGGTTGCTATGGCTACAGTCAGGCTCGGCTGTGAATGGGGTTCCCCTTGCTCTCCCGTGTCTGGGATGGCTGATTTGCATCAGGAAGGCCCGAAGTCTGGCCCTCCCCTGGGGCAGGCAGACACCTTTCCAAGAACCTTCCATGACTCCTCCAAGCCCTCCCTGGCCATCACAGCTATGCAAACCAGCTCTCCCCACTGTGTTCTCACCTTCCCATGACTGTCAGGTGGAGATGCGGGGAAGGCAGGGCAGGTGATATGGTCCCTCCCAGCCTGGGGTGTCCTCCTCTCCAGGCAAAAGCAAGGAGAGACTCTTGGCACCGAGCTCCCCATACTCAGCACACCAAGCAAGGTGGATCCAATGCACACTGCCTGGCCTGGTCTTGCCCTCTGGGGGCAAAACCACACCCATCCACTCTAAGACTAAGTCCTTGCTCTTCTGGTAGCCTGATCCCCCTTTCCCCCCAGAAAAGTGGGATGGCTCATGCCTGGCCAGATCCAGCCCGGGTGCAGACAACACAAGTGGGGTACCAGGATGTGAGCCCTGAAGGGCAGACTCACCCGTAGGGCATTCACACAGGAACTCATTGATCTTGTCCAGGCAGCGGCCACCATGCAGGCAGGGGCTGCTGGCACACTCATCTGTGTTGACCTCACAGTACACACCCTCATAACCTGTGGATAGGGGACGGTGAAGCCATAAACTTGTGATGGTCCCCTATACTCCCCAGCTGGGGACTTGAGACAGAAATGACCCAGTTCCACCATACTTGCCTCCATACCTGCTCTGCAGGCTTACCTCTCTCTGAGCTGACCCAACCACCTGGCGCTACCCCATTATTTGCTGTGTCCTGTGAGCCTAGCTTCAGTTTCCCCAGATAGCCCATGAAGACTGTGGCCTTAGCATGGAGGTCCCAGGAAGGGGAGACATGGCCAGGTGTGCCCCAGGGGCTGCCCCTCTAACGCTGTCCAGCCTTGACTCTCAACAGTACTGCCCAGGTGTGGAGGGGGCACAGACGCACCAGGCATACAGATGCACTGGAACTCCCCGATTTGGTCCAGGCAAGTGGCATCATTCTGGCACGGGTTCGAGATGCACTCGTTGACATCAATCTCACAGCGAGGCCCAGCATAGCCCTGCAGACACCGGCACTCAAAGGAGCCCAGCGTGTTGAGGCACTTGCCCGCATGCTCACAGGGGTTGGCACCTGGTGGGGAGGGTACTGGTGAGGGGCTGTTCCAGGATCCCCAGCCTCTGGACCATCCAGGGCACCCTGGCCTCCCCTATCAGACTGCTGGTCCTTTAGGGCAGGTCACACCTCCCATCCAACAGGCCGGGCTGTCCCCTGCTCTCCACACCACCACATCTGCACCTACCCAATGCGCACTCATCCACATCCTGGCTGCAGGCTGGCCCCGTGTATCCCGAGGGGCAGGTGCAGATGGCCTTGCCATTGACAGGGTTGGTGTCACAGTTGGAGCCCTCATTGCAGGGGTTACTGATGCAAGCGTCATTAAGGTGGCACAACAGACCTGGGCAGGGCAGCAGCAGTCAGTGGGCATTGCCCTTCCATGGCCTGGGAACCGTGGACTACCTGCAGTAGGGGTCCATCCCCACCCAACACCCTGAGAGAAACCTCTGACCATGACCCTGTTGAGTATCCCGTGACAACTGGGTGATTCTGGGAGATTTGTCACCAACAGGCCCAACTGCTGGCCTTCCAGTGCCTCCTCAGCCCAGCAAGACCCTATTGGGTCATCCTGGAGGCAGACAGTCACAGGATGACTGAGGAAGACTGGTGCCACTGCTTCACTCATGGCCACCCTGGAGTGTGCTCGGCTAGGGCCAGGGAGGTCAGCAGAATCCACTCCTCAAGACCTGTGGCCACTAGGCCACGCGCTCTCACCTGTGCGGCCATGGGGACATTCGCAGTAGAAGGAGGCCACACGGTCATGGCAGGTAGCACCATGGAAGCAAGCGGCACTGGCACAGTCATCAATGTTCTCGCTGCAATCCTCCCCAGTCCAGCCATTGACGCACACACAGTTGTAGCCCCCGTGGGTGTTGTGGCAGGTTCCCCCATTCTGGCAGGCATTGGGCATGAGCTGGCACTCATCCACATCCTCTGTGCAGTACTGACCTGTGAGGGATGGGTGACCGTCAACCCCAGGGGGTGCCACACACAGAGATCCTCACTCCCTGGTGCAGGGCTGTAAGGCCTCCTTCAGGAAGCCTTCCTGGGCTCACTCTTCCACTCACGGCCCACACAAGTCACTCTTCCCCTGTCTGCAGCCCCAGCAGGGCTGTGTTGCAGAAGACAGAGCCTGCATCTGTCCACCCTGGTAGCTCTGCATTCAGCCCAGCAGGCCTGCCCTGGATGGTCAGACTGTGGCCCAGCTGAACTCTGGGACCTGGTGCTGGACATGGGCCACTAGTGGGCTACGAGGACCAGCTGATGCTACAATTGTGCTGACCCTTGGGTTGGGGCTTCAGACCTGGTCCTAGGCAGAAAATATGCCACCCCCCCCACCATGTCGTCCTTCTAGGCTCTCCTTGGCTCTCCTCTGCCCCAGCCTGGAATGAGGCCCAGGAAGGCTTCTCCCCCTCCCTCCGGCCCTATGTGTGCAGTTTAGTGAGTTGACGGCTGCCGCACCCAGACCACATGCCCCATACGCACCTGTCCACTCTGGCGGGCAGCGACAGTTGTAGGTGTTCACGCCATCCACACAGGCACCCCCGTTCTTGCAATTGTTTCCTGGACAGTCGTCCACATTTTCCTCACAATTCTGGCCAGCAAAGCCTGCAGGACAGTGGCCAGGCAGGGTCAGCTTCTATCCTAGGCTCCCCCTGCTCCATGCTGGACTCCAGCTGTGTCCAGGCCCTGTCTCCAGGACCCTCGATACCCTGCTCTGGATGGAAGCAGAGCCTGCCCTCTATGGCCTGGCCCGAACCCCTGGGGTCCTCCTGGCTCCCATGACCAATCCTTGCCCAGTGCCCACAGGGGACATACTCCCCTCTAGAGTTACTGTATAAGGGCCAGCTGAACAGACAGGGGCCCAGGAACACAGAGTTCTAGAAGGTTCTGCCAGAAACCCCTCAGCGCTCTTAATGGCTCCAATAAATGGTGCTGCCTGCACACTGGGCTCTACACTGCCCTGGTGGGGTAACCATGGACATCCATATGACAGGGCCGACACTGGGGCTTAGGGAAACCTCTGAGCTAGGAACTGGGGGAGAGGGGACCCATGTGGGCCTGCTTGGTTAGGATGCCATGGGCCCTTCCCATCAGGACCTAGAAGCACAGCCTCCTAGGAACAGCAGTGAGGAGCCCACCTCTTGCCTCACAGGCTGAGGCAGCGCCTCTCGCCTGGGGCCAGCCCCTGAGACATGGCCCTGCAGCGAGGCCCTGAGTGCCTCCTTGGCAGCCAGTTAGCCATTAATCCGCTCAACTCCCGTTGGTTCAATGATCAACCCAGAAAGGCGAGTCTGGCAACAGCCAAACCTGCAGCCAGTTACTAATTAACGCCCCTCCCGGGATGCCTTTGAACCCCTCCTGCCCTTGGAAAACCCACCTGTTTGGCTCCCACCTCTGAGAACGCCACCCACCCCCCCCCCACACACACATACTCCACCAGCTGCACTGGGGCAAAAACTGGAGGCTAGGAAAAGCCAAAAATGCAAATCACACACGGTTTGTGGGGAGCACCCTGAACTGAAGCCTGGTGCCCAAGTTCTGGTTCCCATTTAGGTGGGGTCCCTGGCCACTAGAAGTGGACACGAGCCCCTAGGGACCTGACATGGGAGCCACCTGGGAGTCTGAATGTGGGTCTGGGTGAACCCAGGCTAAGTGGCTTCCATAGCTCCCTGGGTAGTTGACTCTCACCTGTTCCTACCCTGAAACCACCAGTGCCAATACCTGGTAGTGGCATCCTCATCCAAGGGGAGGCTCAGTCCCTATACACTGACCTTGAGAATCACCCAGTCCCAGAGCCCACTGGTCCTTTCTTCCTTCCCATCCATTTCCTAGCACCCTAGGCTGCCCTGTACCTGGGCAGCAGGCTCAGCAGGTCCAAGGCACGTGGCAAGTTAGTGGCTATGGCCCTGCCTGGAGGGCCCTGCCCAGAAGATCACACTCTACCAAGGCAGCCCATTAACACAGGTGGCCTCATGGCCACCAAGAAGAATCTGAACCCAGAGCTCCAGGGTCCTACAAAGTATGAGGGCTCTGTCCCAGCTATCTGTCACCCCTTCAAGCTCGCCCAGTGACTTTCAGGAAATGTGTAACCCAGTGTCTGCACGCACAGCCCTCTGTAGACCATGGGCAGCAGGGAGCTTCCCCTTTGCAGGGACAGAGGCAGCCCTGGGGTGGTGGAGGGGATGGGACAGCCCTGGGGTCACCCCCAGGTCAGCTGAGGCCCTGTGCACCCTCGGCACCCAAGCACGTTCCCATTTCCTGAACCTCTCCCCTTCCTCCTAACTGTCACGGTGTGCAGTCGACAGACAGGTTTTCACACTCTACGTTATTATTTTAGAGCTGCAGCAGAATTTACAGAATTTACTCACACAAGAACTGCAATACTAAGGGCTATAGCTGCAGGACGGGGCTGTGCCTGCTGTTCCACCCCCACAGAAGAGACAACAGAGCCAGCAGGAAGGACCACTGCTGGGAAAGTGACAAGCAACGGGAGGCCACCTCTGCTCTACCGCCAGAGACAAGGGGATACCCCAGAGGCTACACACGCCAGGTACTCCCCCACCTCGCAGTGACTCACACGTGGCTCAGGGGACTCAAAAGACGAGAGGACACCTTGTGAGCAGCTGTAGAGGCTCACACTGCACACGGGAGGCTTGGGGCTGGGTGCCACTGGCTGCCTGTGGGGAACTCCCAGGGAGAGAACACCCAGGAAGGGCACTGCTGTCTCAGGGCATCGTGTACTCTGCTGTCCACATCACAGCATTCCTTACCCCTGGGCAGAAATGGGCTGGTGGGGGCCTTTGGGGAATAGCAACATGGTGGTGGGTAACTGCCTGGCTTCTAGGCTGGCCCCTGGTCCCTGTGCAAACTTCCTAATGGGCCCCCTATCCATACCTGCCCTATACCACATGGGGGTTCCCTCTACACAATTTCACCTGCCTAGCTCTCTGAGGCTGGCCTTCTCTGAGCTTCCTCCCTGGGCTCCGCCACGAGCCCTGAGTCCCTCCACACTGGGCACCCTTTTCCTGAATCCCTCGTGCCTTACAGTGACAAAACAGGCACAGGTGTGTGCATCCAGGAAGGAGGCTGGTGTGCAGCAGGGCAGGACCTACCTGGCAGGCAGGCACACTCGTGGGTGGTGTCCCCCGTGGGGCGGCAGGTGCCCCCATTCTGGCAGGGTGAGGGGCTGCAGGGCACATAGGGCAGCTCGCAGTGGGGGCCGGTGTGGGTGGCACGGCAGGCACAGCGGTAGGAGCCAACCTCGTTGTGGCAAGTGCCTCCGTGGCGGCACAGTCCAGGGTTCTGGCTACACTCATTGACGTCCTGCCTGCAGGTGGGGCCATGGAAGCCAGGTGGGCAGCCACAAATGTACGAGGCCTCGAAGGGCAGGCACTGGCCGCCGTTGGCACAGGGGTTGGAGGCACATGGGTCAGCCTGCTGGCACGACTTCCCTGAAGGGGAGCAGGGAGAGAGGGTCAAGCTGGCTTCCCAGGGAACCCCGGACAGCTTCAGGCACTATGGAGGCACTGATCTGGAATCAGCCTAAGATTTTATCTCTATATTTCTGCAGACAGGGACCACCCAAGGACAGCTGGTAAGTGGGGAGGGGCAGCTTTGAGTTCCGAGCTCAGCCAGTCTTCTCCCAGAGAAATGCAGATACAACTGCCAGAAGTCCAGGGAGCCCAGAGAGAGGGGAACAGCAGGGCTGCACATGGAGCACCTTGTTTGCCACAGAAGCAGGGGCAGTGAGGGTTTGGGGCCCCAGAGTGGAGCAGCAGAAACCAGATAAGTGCAAGGCTGGAAAGGGCAGGGGGCTCTGGAGGGACCTGAATCACAACCCCCAGAGCTCTCTGACACAGTGAATGGCTTGGCTTTCCAGGAGAACCCAGATGGGGCAGGCCTGGGTCTGCCCACTCCTGGGACAGAGGGTCCTAGCCACAGAAATCCACAGCCTTCCCACCATCCTCACCTGACCAGCCAGGAGGGCAGCGGCACTTGTACTCTGTGAGCGTGAGCAGGTCACAGGTGCCCCCGTTGCGGCAGGGGTTGGCCAGGCAGGCGTTGTCCAGGGGTGTCAGGCAAAGGGGCCCAGAGAAGCCCAGGGGGCAGCTGCAGGCATAGTCCACTGTGCCACTGTGGTCCACCACGTGGCATGTCCCAGCATTCTTGCAGGGGGTACTGAGGCACGGGTTGGGGTCCTGGCATTGTTGTCCCACAAAGGCCCCGCTACAGCTGTTGGCAGACACACAGGCAGTTAGCTCCCCTTGGCCCACCTATCACGGCCACCACTGCCCCCCACCTGGGCAGTGCATATAGCAGGTTCAGGCTCCAGAGCTGAGGTGTAAAGGCAGCTTGGTGGGCAGAGTTTCCTTTGGGGTGTTGAAACGCTCTAGAACTAGACAGTGCTGGGGTTCCACAAGAGTACAGATGGATCAAATGCCACTGTTCACTTTAAAGTGGTTAGTTTCATGTTAAGCGAATGTTGCCTCAATAAAAAGAAATAATGACGATTATTAATTGAGGGACAGGCTAGAGAATAAACCATTCAGGCAAGTCAGGTGTGGATTTCAACCCCAGGCAGGCATGTGGATCTACACTGAGGCACAGAGAAGCCCCTCCAACACCCGCCCGAAGAGCAGGCAGAGCCCTGGGGCGGGGGAGGGGAACGAGCGCTGAGAAACTCTCCTTTGGGAGGCTGTCTGACTTTCTCTTCCAGCTTCTCTGTAATGAATATGCATCATTTGGGTAATAAAAGAGTTCATGGTTTCTTCGACTTTCAAACATCAATAGCCCAGCAAACGCGGGAAGTGGTGCAGACACGCGCACGGATTGGCTGCCCGTTTTCTTTCTGTTGGGCTCCCTTCCACCAGGGAGTCTCAGGCAGGGCCAGGGGCTGGTACTCACAAGCTGCATGCCCAGCATCCAGACACACGGTCCCCCTCTGCCATCGAGGCTGCGTGACACACACCAGCCCAAGCCGAGAGCAGAAGTACCCATTTCACGTCTGGGGATACCAAGGTGCTGTGAGAGGCCATCCCTTAGCTCTGGGTGAACGTCCCAGTGGGCCCACCTCTCTCAGGCCTGTCCCTTCCTGGACACTCAGATAGCAGTAGGTGGGGGAGGGGCATCTTGCCTCCAGGATTGGTCTCACTTGTTCCCTGCAGGGACAGGGTCAGTGTCTGCCACACCCAGCCAGAAGCCTGCTTAGCCACCTGCAGGCCTAGCTTTTAGAGACTGTGCCATAAATTGCCCACCCATCACTTCCAGGCCTCCCACTCCCAGGGAGACTCTGGGAGCAGCCTGGGTGGCTCTTCCCAGTGTCTGAGCCAGTGAGGCAGAACGAGCTGCCATGCTAGCTGGCACAGCAGTTCTCATGCTGGGTCGTAGCTGGGTATTGGACGGGCACGGCCTCCTCCCACCTGGAGGCCTCGTGATTGTGCTGGCCATCCTGCCTTCCAGATCCACCTGGGCTGAGGGCTGCCTCTCGGCTGGCCCCAAAACTGGGGCTACAACCTGCACACAGGGACCCCGACCCCCCCCCCCAACATATGCCAGCATGTGGGTCCTTGCTTACCCCTGTTGTGGTGGCTAAAATCAAACCCACAAGTGAAGGGACCCCAGGAGGAGTCTCTCCCCATAGAGCCGGTGGGGGAGGTTTGGGAGCTGGGCAGTGTTCTCAGCAACAGGGCTGCTCTCCTGCCCCAGGGCCTGTCCTCCCTGGTCTTTCATCTGTAACCACAGCTTGGGTAGAGAGGACACAAAATGGCCACTCCAGCTGACCATCTGTTGCCAGAAGCCAAAAGTCCCAAACCAACTGGCTTAAAGAAAACAAATCATCCCCCAGGCACGCCAGGGAGCTAACTCAGGCCTTCACGATGGCTCCTGCCCAGCATGGAAGGCAGTGCGGCAGCTGGCCCCTCCCACACATGGGGCAGGGCTGGAGTGAGCCCCCACACCTGCCTCTCTGGGGCACTACAGTCCAGGCATGGCCTTCACTGTACATGGATCCAGTTACCAGCTGGCCTGAGTGGCCACTGGGAACCTGGGATCGCGCAGGCCAGGCTGGCCAGACAGAATCAGCCCTCCTCCTACCAACGCCCCTCGATCAGTCAGGAGCTGGTCTCAGCCCACTTGGAGAAAAGGCTTTTTTCTTTCCCAGCCATTGGGTGGGGGGAGGGGACAGAGGAAGCTTGATCATCAAAGCTAAGCTGGAGCCAGCCATCCATGCACACTTTGGGCCCCTCGGCCAGGCAGATGGGGGCTCCAAGGGGCGGGAAGGCAGTCAGGGTGGGTAAGATGGGATAGGTCCATCCCCATCTCTGGGGGACCCCCACACAGTGCCACTCCTCACATGGGTTAGGTCTCTGACACTGGTCCCAGTAGGGACACTGGGGCCCCTAGCTCCTGAGCATCTTAAGGTGAGGACACTGCACAATGGCAAGTGGTCCAGAAGGCCCTGCCCACATACTTCTCACCTCCCCCTACACCCTGAATGGGGACCCGAATGAAAACCGTGGGAGAACCTGCCTTGACTGGACACACCCTCACTAACACGGCTGCCTTCACTGGACCAGCAAGGGGAAAATATGCCCAATAAATCAGGCGTCAGCAGCACGGACAAAGGGCGGCTGGGAGCAGGTGCGCTTGTGGAGGGGACAGCTGCTCATGCCGGGTGTGGCCAGCCGCCAACCCTGGCGGGTGGGGCAGGAGCCGGGCAGCCGGTGGCCTGAGGAAGCTCTTCCGTGGGGGAATGTGCAGCTGAGAAGGCCCTTTGTCCTCCCCACTGCCGTCTTGGGCTCTGGGACACCACAGTGAAGGCATGCTGTCCGCCTGGACAGCCTCAGGTGCAGTTGTCATCCACCACCAGCACCCCACAGCTACAGGTCAGGCAGGGCCACGAGAGAGGGGCCGCCCCTAAGGTGCCTAGAGCCAGGTGGAGTTATCTGGCTGAAAGGCGCAGTTTGGGAGCCAGTCTTCCTGCTCCAGCTCGAGGTAGGCAGCCTCTAGCCAGTGCCCACCTATCTGACCTCTCCACCACCTGGCCACAGAACAGGGACTGCCTGGGAACAGACACCTGTCACCTCCTCTCCTATGGACCTTGAGGCTGTAGCTTGGGCCATGGCCGCAGGGCCACCAACCCCCAAGACCAAGACCCCCATTGTCCTCCAGCTACTTTCCCATTTGGTCCTCGACACCTGGGCTCAGCTAAGGATATCACACCCAACAGCAGCCTCACCTGGCAGGGAGTCTCTGATCCAGCCCAGATAGGGACATTCCCCCATTGCCCGAGTCACCTTCTATCAGGGCAGTGGGAAGAGACTGGACTTCTCTAAAGTAGGACTTCTAAGATGGGAGTCTTGACTCTCCCTCGATGGGACAAGAACTGTCCATCCATGTGCCCTCAGTGCCCTGGGGCTCTCGGCCTCCCACGGTGGGAACCCATCCTGTGTCACGTGTGCCCTTCACAGGCTCCCTCTCCTTGCCTCCTCCTTAAGACAGCTGATCATCCACTTTGTCTTCTTTCCCACACCCTACTCAAGGGGGCCTGGCAGGTGCAGGGTGACCTGCCGGTCTTGGCTGGTGGCAGGTGAGTGGTAGGCAGGCTGGGGCCCCAGGAGGGGCTGTGGATGGGGTGGGCTTTTGCCAGCGACGCGCAGAGGAGCACAAACGGCCCCTGTGCCTGTCGTCCCACAACTGCCGCCTCTCGCTTTGTTCCTGGCTTCAATATTTCCACTGTGCCGCCTCCCGCCTCCCCGGCAGTGCAGCTCCATAGAAATGTGACTCCCCAAAGCATCCGGAGGCAGATGTTGGCGTGACCTTTCACCCGGGACTAATTCTAAATTGTGCTGTTTTCCTTTCCAAACTAAATGGCCATCTGCCACCCCCAGGGGACAGATGACAGCTCCCTCCGCTCCAAAATGATGAGGAGGGGGCAGAGGGAGAAGGGGGGACTTACTCAGCTCCTGTCCTCATTGAGTTTATGATCAAGTGGGACTCATGGGGGTGGGGGGGGTGTCAGTACAGTCAAAGATGGGAGTGGGAAAACTGCCGTAACCGAGGCATCTGGGGGGTTGGTGCTGGGGCCCCTCTTGGGGTGCTTCCCAGGACTACACACCAACAGAGGCCAGAGGAACTTGGGATGGGGAGGAGCTCCTGGGCCTTCCCAGCTCTATCCAGCTGCTACATGGGGCTGTGTGGGGCACTTAGTTTGGCCTCAGTTTCCCAGGAGTGTAGAGAGGGGTTGCGTGGGTGCAGCACATTTCAGCTGTCACCAGCTGGGCAGAGAGGACTCTCATTCTGGTCATATCTGGATTTGATTCAAAGAGTTGAGATCTGGAGGTACATCCCAAGAACACATTCATTGTACAGGCAAGGACACCTGTCCAAGGAAAACTGTGGAGAGCCACAAGCCCCCACAAAACCTACCCCACCCTGCTCTGTTCTAGTGGCAGGGACCTGCAGTCTGAACCCCAGATCTTGTGGTCCAAAGGGTCGGGGGGACCGCAACCCTCTGTGTAGAAGGAGCAGCTTGCACACCCCAGGTCCACCTCATCCGGGTCCCCAGGAATGGCGGTGGAGGGAGGCACCTAGCTTTGACCCCTTAACCTGCTTCACCTGTCGTCAGCAGAGCTACCCAGGTGTAGCAGGGAGGACAGATTGCCTGCTTCCAGAGAGATCAAGCAACATCTTGCCAGGAGTCACACCCTCCCCAAGCCCCAGTGGGCTTTCGGTCCAGGAAGGGGAGTCTGGGGTCTGAGGTGCCTGCTCTGCAAGTTCTGGCTCAACAGGGGTTGGTCACATCCACATTCCTCAGTGTAGCACCCCCAGCCAATCCTGTCCCCAGGGATGTCTATGTCCCCAGGGATGTCCAGTGCAGCCTCCCCTATCCGAGCCTGATACTGCCACATACGTGTCCCCAGGGATGGCTCAGGACAGCGTCCTCCAGTCTGATCCTATCCAACATCCAAACCCTGGACACTAGCCACTAAGCCAGTGCCCCCTGCCACCCAGGCAGCCGGCCCACCTAGCCATCCCTGCCCAGGCCAATGGACCGTGTATGATCTGAGCAAGGGGGCTATCATGACTCCCTGCCGAAGAGGGAGACACAGGCCAGTCCTGAGTAGAATGGGGGTGAGAACAGACCTGTGGTTGGTCCCCTCCCAGGGCCTACATGGAGTCAACAATCCCAGTCCTCCCCCAAGGCTTCTACGGGGAGAGGGAGTCCTGGGACC